ATGTCTAGTGCGATCATATGGCACTATCGAGAAGACGCAACGTTTTCTCTCACGTTTTTGTTGAGTTAGGCCAAATGCCTGGGTTAAATGAATTATGAAGCTTTTACAATATTTCGCGGCACACAATTGAGAATCACTTGTTAAGGCAAATCTTAGACATAGAAGTTTTCAATTAGTAGTTCTCAAGATTTAGTAGGTGATTGGAGAGAGAGATTTGCTGGTGATTTTTGACGTGTCTATCTTTAATGGTATTCTAAAAAATGAGGCAATGATAGATCCAGAATTAACCTTATATCAGCATCCTGAGATCATAATAGGTAAAAAATTAGGCCGATTAAATTATTGTATTAGTCCATTTGGCCATGAATAGTACATATTTTAATCGAAGGTATGAAGACCAAGATGGTGTGGCCTTTTTTGTGGTCACAGTCTTATTTCTTTGTATAAAGGTTGTTTGACGTTGTTTTCGCAACTTGGTCATATTGGTATCAAGACTTAGAGGAACACACCTAGTCCGGAGTCCATTGTATGCATGATCATTTCCAAAGTCGGATCGTGGACATAGTACATTCCCAGACGTTTCACCGGCATCGTCAGTAAGTCTCGTCATTCTTAGCACCACACAACTCGTTAAAGAGATAAGTGAAGGTTGGATACTTTGACCGAATGTGTGCTAAACGGTTCTGGTATCTCCCCTTTTGCCCTTGGCTATTCACATTTCCTATATCTTCATATCACGCATTCACTGCTATAATTTTTACCATGCTTATCTTGATGTAGTGTGGTGTGCTCCTTTGAGTGGCATTTATGAAAAATCTTCACAATCCACACTGTCGTTCTCACCCCTTCACCTCTGTGCTGAGAATGTTGATTATAGTTTACCATATTGCTACGCAGTCCTTCTTCCCCAGATCTTATCACCTTCTCCCTCTTGGTCCGTAAGATCCGTCTGCTCTCTTCCTGGTTCACGTATTTCACTCGACCCTTGCGTCTGTGTGACTAATTCGAGGCTAAAGCCTTTGAGTAATACTGATGGTCACGCTTTTGCTACATGGACCACGTCTCTGGTACAACAGACACACTGTCAGCCAACTAGCTCCAGTCTTCGCCGCGGCTATCATGTTTCTATATCTAATACCAAGTCTATGACTTCCCATGCCCTAGTCTCTTGTGTGTCAACCCACAAATGTTGTGGTAGTGCTGGCTTTGATTAGGCTCAATGTTGAACCACCACGTTTATGGGTTGGCACGCAAGAGACTAGGGCATAGGAAGTCATAGACTTTGTATGATAGATAGAAAGAGGATAGAAGCAGTGGAAACTAGAGTTAGTTGGCTAAGAATAGTCGTCATTCCAGGATCACGTCTATTGTTAGCCAAATAGCTCTAGTCTCCACCGCGTCTTTCCTACTTCTATATGTAATACCATGTCTATCACTTCCTACGTCCTAGTCTTTTGTGTACCAACTCATAATTGTAATTCTACTTGTTTTGATATTTGCTCGTAGATACTGCCGTTAAATGTAAAATGTGTGGTCCTTACTGTCAGGTTGAATAGTCGTTAACTATTCTTTCCTTTTACTCTTCTCGCTCCAAAATCTCCAGCAAGGCGCTTACCGCCTTCTCGCCTGAGATGTTTGTGTACATGGATTGTACATCGCAACTCACCAACCCAATGTTCTGGATCCATTGAGAAAATTCATTTGAATTCTTGACGATATTCGAGAGTCTGTCATTTACTTTCTTGAGCTTCAAGTAAATGAATTTTGCTAGCTTATGCATTGCCCTATGCTTGTTGTTGACTATTAGTCTTAGAGGATATCCTTCCTTGTGTATCTTCGGTAGTCCGTAAGCTGTCGGTTGTGTTTCGTGATTTTTATTAGATTTCTTCATTTATGTGTTAATTTCCCCATTTATGCATTTCCTTGACCATATTCTTCAGGCAGAATGGATACGGAAAGAATCGTTAACATGACTAATCAACTTGACAGTAAGGACCACATATTTTACATTTAACGGCAGTATATACGAGCAAATATTTGTACTACCGATGGGATTTCCACTTATCTCTTTTTGGCAAATGTGTACATGGACAACTTGTTAAGGGAATTCTAGAAGTCACCAATGCAACCAAGAGTGCTTATGTGATACTTGGATGATTACTTTGTACTT